CAAGGCACAGTACTCACTCCCATCTTGTTCCTCATCCTCATATCCGACATAGACAAGGATGTCAGCCACAGCACCGTGTCTTCCTTTGCAGATGACACCCGAATCTGCATGACAGTTTCTTCCATTGCAGACACTGCAATGTTCCAGGCGGACATCAACCGAATCTTTCAGTGGGCTGCAGAAAACAATATGAAGTTCAACGATGAGAAATTTCAATTACTCAGATATGGTAAACACGAGGAAATTAAATCTTCATCAGAGTACAAAACAAATTCTGGCCACAAAATAGAGCGAAACACCAACGTCAAAGACCTGGGAGTGATCATGTCGGAGGATCTCACTTTCAAGGACCATAACATTGTATCAATCGCATCTGCTAGAAAAATGACAGGATGGATAATGAGAACCTTCAAAACTAGGGAGGCCAAGCCCATGATGACACTCTTCAGGTCACTTGTTCTATCTAGGCTGGAATATTGCTGCACACTAACAGCACCTTTCAAGCCAGGTGAAATTGCTGACCTAGAAAATGTACAGAGAACCTTCACGGCGCGCATAACGGAGATAAAACACCTCAATTACTGGGAGCGCTTGAGGTTCCTGAACCTGTATTCCCTGGAACGCAGGCGGGAGAGATACATGATTACATACACCTGGAAAATCCTAGAGGGACTAGTACCGAACTTGCACACGAAAATCACTCACTACGAAAGCAAAAGACTTGGCAGACGATGCAACATCCCCCCAATGAAAAGCAGGGGTGTCACTAGCACGTAAAGAGACCATACATTAAGTGTCAGGGGCCCGAGACTGTTCAGCTGCCTCCCAGCATACATAAGGGGGATTACCAACAGACCCCTGGCAGTCTTCAAGCTGGCACTGTACAAGCACCTAAAGTCGGTTCCTGACCAGCCGGGCTGTGGCTCGTACGTTGGTTTGCGTGCAGCCAGCAGCAACACCCTGGTTGATCAGGCTCTGATCCACCAGGAGGCCTGGTCACAGACCGGGCCGCGGGGGCGTTGACCCCCGGAACTCTCTCCAGGTAAACTCCAGATAATACCTCTCCTCTCCGACCACTGGCTCCATACCTCTCCTCTCCGACCACTGGCTCCATACCTCTCCTCTCCGACCACTGGCTCCATACCTCTCCTCTCCGACAACTGGCTCTATACCTCTCCTCTACGACCACTGGCTCCATACCACTCCTCTCCGAGCACTGGCTCCATACCTCTCCTCTCCGATCACTGGCTCCATACCTCTCCTCTCCGACCACTGGCTCCATGCCTCTCCTCTACGACCGCTGGCTCCATACCACTCCTCTCCGACCACTGGCTCCATACCTCTCCTCTCCGACTACTGGCTCCATACCTCTCCTCTCCGACCACTGGCTCCATACCTCTCCTCACCGACCACTGGCTCCATACCTCTCCTCTCCGACTACTGGCTCCATACCTCTCCTCTCCGACCACTGGCTCCATACCTCTCCTCTCCGACCACTGGCTCCATACCTCTTCTCTCCGACCACTGGCTCCATACCACTCCTCTCCAACCACTGGCTCCATACCTCTCCTCTCCGCCCACTGGCTCCATACCACTCCTCTCCAACCACTGGCTCCATACCTCTCCTCTCCGACTACTGGCTCCATACCTCTCCTCTCCGCCCACTGGCTCCATACCACTCCTCTCCAACCACTGGCTCCATACCTCTCCTCTCCGACTACTGGCTCCATACCTCTCCTCTCCGACCACTGGCTCCATACCTCTCCTCACCGACCACTGGCTCCATACCTCTCCTCTCCGACCACTGGCTCCATACCTCTCCTCTCCGACCACTGGCTCCATACCTCTCCTCTCCGACCACTGGCTCCATACCTTACCTCTCTGACCACTGGCTCCATACCTCTCCCCTCCGACCACTGGCTCCATACCTGTCCTCTCTGACAACTGGCTCCATACCTCTCCTCTCCGACCACTGGCTCAATACCTCTCCTCTCCGACCACTGGCTCCATACCTCTCCTCTCCGACCACTGGCTCCATACCTCTCCTCTCTGACCACTGGCTCCATACCTCTCCTCTCCGACCACTGGCTCCATACCTATCCTCTCCGATCACTGGCTCCATACCTCTCCTCTCCGACCACTGGCTCCATACCTCTCCTCTACGACCTCTGGCTCCTTACCTCTCCTCTCCGACCACTGGCTCCATGCCTCTCCTCTACGACCACTGGCTCCATACCACTCCTCTCCGACCACTGGCTCCATACCTCTCCTCTCCGACCACTGGCTCCATACCTCTCCTCTACGACCACTGGCTCCATACCACTCCTCTCCGACCACTGGCTCCATACCACTCCTCTCCGACCACTGGATCCATACCTCACCTCTCCGACCACTGGCTCCATACGTCTCCTCTCCGACCACTGGCTCCATACCTCTCCTCTCCGACCACTGGCTCCATACCTCACCTCTCCGACCACTGGCTCCATTCCTCACCTCTCCGACCACTGGCTCCATACCACTCCTCTCCGACCACTGGCTCCATACCTCACCTCTCCGACCACTGGCTCCATACCACTCCTCTCCGACCACTGGCTCCATACCTCTCCTCTCCGACCACTGGCTCCATACCTCTCCTCTCCGACCACTGGCTCCATGCCTCTCCTCTACGACCACTAGCTCCATACCACTCCTCTCCGACCACTGGCTCTACACCTCACCTCTCCGACCACTGGTTCCATACGTCTTCTCTTCGACCACTGGCTCCATACCTCTCCTCTCCGACCACTGGCACCATACCTCACCTCTCCGACCACTTTGTCCTTACCTCTCCTCTACGACCACTGGCTCCATACCACTTCTCTCCGACCACTGGCTCCATACCACTCCTCTCCGACCACTGGCTCCATACCTCACCTCTCCGACCATTGGCTCCATACCTCACCTCTCCGACCACTGGCTCCATACCACTCCTCTCCGACCACTGGCTCCATACCTCTCCTCTACGACCACTGGCTCCATACCTCTCCTCTACGACCACTGGCTCCATACCTCTCCTTTACGACCACTGGCTCCATACCTCTCCTCTACGACCACTGGCTCCATACCTCTCCTCTACGACCATTGGCTCCATACCTCTCCTTTACGACCACTGGCTCCGTACCTCTCCTCTCCGACCACTGGCTCCATACCACTCCTCTGCGACCACTGGCTTCATACCTCTCCTCTACTACCACTGGCTCAATACCTCTCCTCTACGACCACTGGCTCAATATATCTCGTCTACGACCACTGGCTCAATATCTCTCGTCTACGACCACTGGCTCAATATCGCTCCTCAACGACCACTGGCTCCATACCTCTCCTCTACGACCACTGGCTCCATACCTCTCCTCTACGACCACTGGCTCCATACATCTCCTCTACGACCACTGGCTCAATATCTCTCGTCTACGACCACTGGCTCAATATCTCTCCTCAACGACCACTGGCTCCAAACCTCTCCTCTACGACCACTCGCTCCATACCTCTCGTCTACGACCACTGGCTCCATACCTCTCCTCTACGACCACTGGCTCCATACCTCTCCTCTGCTACCCCTGGCTCCATACCTCTCCTCTAACCACTGGTTCAATACCTCTCCTCTACGACCACTGGCTCCATACCTCTCCTCTACGACCACTGGCTCCATACCTCTCCTCTGTGACCACTGGCTCAATACCTCTCCTCTACGACCACTTGCTCCATACCTCTCCTCTCCGACCACTGGCACCATCCCTCTCCTCTACGACCACTGGCTCAATACCTCTCCTCTACGACCACTGGCTCCATACCTCTCCTCTACGACCACTGGCTCCATACCTCTGCTCTCCGACCACTGGTTCCATACCTCCCCTCTCCGACCACTGGCACCATCCCTCTCCTCTACGAACACTGGCTCTATACCTCTCCTCTACGACCACTGGCTCCATACCTCTCCTCTACGTCCACTGGCTCAATATCTCTCGTCTACGACCACTGGCCCAATATCTCTCCTCAACGACCACTGGCTCCATACCTCTCCTCTACGACCACTGGCTCCATACCTCTCGTCTACGACCATTGGCTCCATACCTCTCCTCTACGACCACTGGCTCTATACCTCTCCTCTGCGACCCCTGGCTCCATACCTCTCCTCTACGACCACTGGTTCAATACCTCTCCTCTACGACCACTGGCTCCATACCTCTCCTCTACGACCAATGGCTCCATACCTCTCCTCTGTGACCACTGGCTCAATACCTCTCCTCTACGACCACTTGCTCCATACCTGTCCTCTCCAACCACTGGCACCATCCCTCTCCTCTACGACCACTGGCTCAATACCTCTCCTCTACGACCACTGGCTCCATACCTCTCCTCTACGACCACTGGCTCCATACCTCTGCTCTCCGACCACTGGCTCCATACCTCTCCTCTCCGACCACTGGCACCTCCCTCCTCTACCTGGCTTTCCTCCATCTACGACCACTGGCTCAATACTCTCCTCTACGACCACTGGCTCCATACCTCTCCTCTACGACCACTGGCTCCATACCTCTCCTCTACGACCACTGGCTCCATACCTCTCCTCTACGACCACTGGCTCCATACCTCTCCTCTACGACCACTGGCTCCATACCTCTCCTCTACGACCACTGGCTCCATACCTCTCCTCTACGACCACTGGCTCCATACCTCTCCTCTACGACCACTGGCTCAATACCTCTCCTCTACGACCACTTGCTCCATACCTCTCCTCTCCGACCACTGGCACCATCCCTCTCCTCTACGACCACTGGCTCCATACCTCTCCTCTATGACCACTGGCTCCTTACCTCTCCTCTACGACCACTGGCTCCATACCTCTCCTCTACGACCACTGGCTCCATACCTCTCCTCTACGACCACTGGCTCCATACCTCTCCTCTCCGACCACTGGCTCCATACCTCTCCTCTACGACCACTGGCTCCTTACCTCTCCTCTACGACCACTGGCTCCATACCTCTCCTCTACGACCACTGGCTCCATACCTCTCCTCTACGACCACTGGCTCCATACCTCTCCTCTTCAATCTACAAAATACATTAGTACCGTGGCTCAGTTGGCAACATATTCAGTTCACACACTGAATGTCTAAGGTTCGATTCCTGGCACGGGTTGAAGCGTTGGACATGTTTTCTTACACCTGCTGCCTGTGATCACCTACCTGTAAGTAGGTACCTGGGTGCTAGTCGACTATTGTGAGTTGCATCCTGTGGGAAGGGGTTCTCGGATGTAAAACTGATTTGTGTAAAACAGTACGGGTTACTTATGTGTATTGTTTATAAGGGAGGTGTACTTCTGCACTTAGATGTTGATGACGGTAGTTAGGTATGGTGACTCCTGACTACCATCACACGCCTGACCACACCTGCACACACACACACGTCTGACGACACCTGTACACACGCACGCCTGACAACACCTGTACACACACACACACACACACACACACACACACATGACGACACCTGCACACACACCAGACACCTGCACACACGCGCCTGACGACACATGCGCACATGCTCGAGTGAGAACACCTGCACACACACACGTCTGACGACACCTGCACACATACACGCCTAACGTCACCTGCACACACACGCCTGACGACACCTGCACACATACACGCCTGACGACACCTGCACACACACATTCCTGACGACACCTGCACACACACGCCTGGCGATAGCTGAACACATAAACGCCTAACGACACCTGCACGCACACGTCTGACGATAGCTGCACACACACACTAGCGACACCTGCACACACACACACGCCTAACGACAGCTGCACACACACGCCTGACGATAGCTGCACACACACGAGTGACGACAGCTCCTCACTCACACACGCCTAAGGACACCTGCACACATACGCCTTATGACAGCTCCACACACACGCCTGACGACACCTGCATACACACACGCCTGGCGACACCTGCACACACACACGCCTGACGAAACCTGCGCACACACACACCTGACGACACCTGCACACACACACCTGACGACACTTGCACACACACACGCCAGAAGACACCTGCACATACGCCTGACGACACCTACACACACACACACACACCTGACGACACCTGCGCACACACACCTGACGACACTTGCACACACACACGCCTGACGACACTTGCTCACACACACACCTGACGACACTGCACAAACACACCCTGACGAAACTGACCACACACGCCTGACGCACCTGCCCCACACACCTTGACGACCCTGCACACATCCTGAGACACCTGCACACACCACGCGACGACACTGCAAAACACACGTTTCCCCTTTTAACACCTGCCACACCACACACACACTGACGACACCTGCACCACACCCTGACGAACTGCACACACTGCCTGACACACCTCCCCCACACACACACCTGACGTAACCTTCCCCAAACACACACCCTGAGACACCTGCACAAAACACATACGCCTGACGACACCGGGCCGCAACACACCCCTTGACAAACTCACACACACAACACCTGACAAGCTGCCCCGCACCCCACGTTGACACACCTGCACACACCCACACCCCAAACACACCTAGTCTGCAAACCCGTGGCACAAACCCGAGATAAAATTGTGGAACCTGAAACCCCAACTAGTTAGCATAACCAGCGCTTATTAAACCCCAAAAGCGAACCACACACATACGAAGTGAAACCAATTAAGTTAAAAAATCTGGAGGAACCTGAACCCATCCTTAAGTCCAAAGTGAAAAACCCTTAGGCGCCCCTGAGGCCTTCGAACCAACACAGAAACCAAAAACAAGACAAGTGGAGGTGAAGCGGGTGCAAAATACGAGGAAAATTGGATAAAAATGAAAGTGGGCACCAACCGTGATACATGAAATAAAAATAACAAGAGCAGAAATGGAAAAAAATATAATTAAAACAAGGGAGAATGGCAACCCAATAGTGACGACCCCTCAACAGCTGGACAACCCCAAAAATTGAACCGAAGTGAAGGAAGTGAAGTGACCAACAAAGTCATAGGGACGGGGAGGCCTGAGATTAGGTTTAATGTAAACATTTGAGAATTTCATTAGTGAAAACCGTCATAACATCCAACGAGTATCCAATATTCAGTTTAAAACTAAAACCTGTTTTATTTTGGGGCCCAACCGTTATTTGTAGTAGGTTCTTTCTCAAGCTATTACCAAAGTTAAGTGAGGTAGCTTAAAAATTTGAAGATGGTTAACAAGGAAAAGGGGGCACCATAAGCGAGGGGAAATAATTAAAACCCCAAAACCCAGAAAGAAAATTACAATAACTACGGGAAAGTGGAATTTAGGTGCTGAATCATTTTGGAACAGTTTTGAATTTATGTTTTAACCCGGAATTAATTAAGTAATGTATCTATAAATTTGGGGACACACAATACAAAGAAAAGGTAACAACACACAAACACACCACACATCAACGCACCGCACACCCCAGCAAATACACATAATTTTTTCCTTAACCCCACACAATACACACTCAACCATTCACACACAAATAACAAATACAAAATAAAATAAACACCAAGCACACAGGGAACCGGGCACTTAGAACTGTAGAACCACAGTAAAACCCCAACACTGGTTTTAAATTTAGAATGAAATGAAACCTTTTGGGCCCCCCCTTACTTTTACTATTTTTAATTTGTCATAAATTCACCCCTCACCAACAAACCCCCAACCACCCCCCTCTACCCCCTCCATCTTTCCCCTAACATCTCACACACTAACACCCACCTCCCCTCAACATCCCCCTCCACCGCAACATTTGTTTCCGCCCCCCAAAATTTCACCCCCCCCTAACTCCTTTTCTCCTGCCCCCCCCCTCTTCCACCTAAGGTTTTCTCTCCCCTCACTTTCATTCCCCTATTCCCCTTCTCCCCCTATTTCCTTCCCTTTCCCCTCCCTCCCCCCTCTCTCTCCTCTCCCTCCCCCTCTACTCTCTCCCCTCTCTCATTCTTCCCTCCCTTTTTCTCTCCTCCTCCTTTCTCCTCCATCTCCCTCTCTCCCCCCTCCCTCTCTCTCTCTCTTCCTCCCCTCTCTTTCCCCTTTGCTCTATCTTCTTGCTCCCTCCCTTTTCCCTCCTCTCTTCTCTCTCTCTCTTCTCTCTCTCTCTTGCTCTCTCTCTTCTCTCTCTCTCTCTCTCTTGCTCTCCTCTCTCCTCTTGCTCTCTCTCTTGCTCTCTCTCTCTCTTGCTCTCTTCCTCTTGCTCTCTCTTCTCTTGTCTCTCTTTTGCTCTCTCTCTCTCTCTCTTGCTTCTCTCTCTTGCTCTCTCTCTTGCTCTCTCTCTCTCTTTTGCTCTCTTCTCTCTTCCCTCTCTTCTTTTGCTTCTCTTTGCTCTCTTCTCTTTGCTTTCTTTGCCTCTCTCTTCCCCTTGCTCCTCTCTCTCTCTTCTCTCTCTCTTGCTCTCTCTCTCTCTTGCTCTCTCTCTTTGCTCTCTCTCTCTCTCTTGCTCTCTCTCTCTCTTGCTCTCTCTCTCTCTTGCTCTCTCTCCCTCTTGCTCTCTCTCTCTCTCTCTCTTTTTGCTCTCTTTTCCCTCTTCCTCTCTCTCTCTCTCTTGCTCTCTCTCTTGCTCTCTCTCTCCTCTTGCTCTCTCTCTCTCTTTTTGCTCTCTCTCTTCCTCCTCTCTCTCTTTTGCTCTCTCTCTTGCTCTCTCTCTCTCTCTTGCTCCCTCTCCCCTTCCTCTTTTGCTCTCTCTCTTGCTCTCTTCTTGCTCTCTCCTCTCTTGCTCTCTCTCTTCTTGCTCTCCTTTTCTCTTCTCTCCCTTTTCCCCTCTCTCTTGCTCCTCTCTCTCCTCTTCTCTCTTCTCTCTCTCTTTTGTCTCTCTCTCTTTGCCCCTCTCTTTTTTCTCTTTTGCTCTCTCTCTCTCTCTTTTCTCTTCCCCTTTTCTTTTTGCTCTCTCTCTCTCTTGTTTCTCTCTCTCTCTTGCTCTCTCTCGCTCTCTTGCTCTCTCTCTCTCTCTTGCTCTCTCTCCCTCTTGCTCTCTCTCTCTCTTGCTCTCTCTCTTGCTCTCTTCTCTTTGCTCTCTCCTCTCTCTCTCTTGCTCGCTCTCTTGCTCTCTCTCTCTCTTGCTCTCTCTCCCTCTTGCTCTCTCTCTCTCTTGCTCTCTCTCTTCCCTCTCTCTCTCTTCTTTTTCTCTCTCTTGCTCTCTCTCTCTCTCTGCTCTCTTTTCTCTCCTGCTCTCTCTTTCTCTTAAATCTCTCTCTCTCTCTTGCTCTCTCTCTCTCTTGCTCTCTCTCGCCCCATTTTCCCTTCTAACTCTCCCCTCTCTACTCTTAAAAAAAAAAAAAAAAAAAAAAAAAAAAAAAAAAAAAAAAAAAAAAAAAAAAAAAAGGTGGGGACTCGCAGGACCCAAGGATCAGATGAGAATGGCTCGGGTAGGGGAGGAGTGGATGGGGGAGCAGTGGAAAGGATGGAACAAGAGGGGGAGAGAAAATTGGAGAGCTTTCTGAAAAATGGAGAAAGAGCTCTCTGTGAAATTGGAAAGGTGGTTGGAGAAGGAGACAAAGAATTGGGAGGCAAAAGTCGAAATGCAGTAGCCAAGATAAGGGTCTAGAATTTGAGATAAATAGGCTGGAGCGAGTACAGGGGCAGTGACCAGAGAAGACACAGCATATGAAGCTGCGAGGCTGAACAGGAAGGGAAAGGGAATTATGAATTATGCTAAGGTCACATCAATCTGCCAAGGAGGACCAAGGAGTGAAAGGGAAGATCAACTGGTTGCAGATGGAGAGGGTGTGGAATTCGAATGCTTGAGGCACAACAAGGCTATCAAGAGCCACTGGAAAAATCAAGGGAGAAACTGACCACATACAGGCAGGGTCCAGAGCCACAGAGGTGGGCAATGCGAGGAAGAAAGGGCAAATCAGTGTTTATCCCATGGGCTTCAGGAGAGAGAGGAAGGGCACACCTGAAAGGAAGCAGAAGAAAGGGAAAGGAGGGAAATTTAGAAAATCATAACAGAAATAGGTGAAGAGAGGGACGAGATTGTAAATTTTCAGAGA